ACTAGATTTAATGTTTGTTGAATGAAGAAATGGGTGCCAACTTCTAAGTTTTTGTCCAAGGTAGAAGATAGAGATTAGCCATGAAGGAAACTATCCTTCTGAGACCAATCATTTTGTGAGGATTCGAAGAAATTTGTTATTTTCATGACTAATCCATCTTCTTTATAACTTGGACAAGATTTGGAATTTGGCGTCGATTTCTTCATTCAATCCAATTATAGAAACTAAATGAGGCCTTACAGCATCTCCAAGAGAAACTCTAATTTTTTGTTAGACTAGTAAGTGAATAGTGTCAAAACACTATTTTAACTACTCAGTTTAACTTTTTATCTCAAACAACACTCTCTATTTTAACAGATTTTGAATAATTTATTATTAACAATTCAAACCCAGCCCATTCGTTTTCTAGAAAAACCTTCTCTCTCTTCTTTTTATGCTCCAGGGTCCACCCTTGAGTTTTATTACTTATGTAATATGTAGAAAGTGAATAGTTGCTCTCTAAATTTGAAGAGTGACTAGTTATTTTTATATAATAGTGACTCTTTTACAAAATCTCTTAGAGATGAATTTTTTAGTTTGGCTATTTAAAAAAGAGTTTTGGTTTGTTTTACTGCATCTCTTGGAGATGCTTAGTGGTTATAAGTTTAACTAACACAATTCTCATTTAAGGTAAAGTGCAGTGAAGTTTATTGATGATATATCCACGTTCTAAAAAAATGCAGATAACTGCACTAGAGAAAAATTTGCTTGCCTATGTTATAATCTTTATAAACTTGATTTTGTTTTAAAATCTTAAGAGTGTTTAGATTAAGGGTAAGCTATAATTTTCTTTCCTATATTCATTTAATTAACAACAACTCTCATGTTCACATATGATTTTCGTGAAATGGTGATTAACTTCCAATTTCGACACAATCCAACAGGATGGTTATACAGATGAAGTAACAGGATCAGAGGCTGTGTCTGTGCTTGTTGCTACAAAAGCCAAACCAAATCAGGACCCTCAAAGCCCACTTAACAGAGAATTCTTCGTAAGCTTCCTGGAGGTAATTAACCCCAGTAAAAGTTCCTTTTCTCAATCAATTTTTTTTTTTTTTGTTGAAAGTTTTCGACAAAATGTCAACTCTTTTCCAATTGGTTTTGCAGGTTCTGAACAACCCCAAACAGAAAGGGAGATTCAATTTAACTACACAATTTCCATTTTACAAGGAAGTGACATATAAACCAGAATTTGGGAACAAAAAACTTGGTAAACCTGTTGTCTTTGACATGGATATGAGTGCTGGAGACTTTGCAGCTCTCTTCTACCTCCTCAAAGTACCTATTCAAGTGATTAATCTCAAGGTAGTTTTTTGCTTCTTCTCTTTTTGTAACTTAACTAGTTTAGTCGCCAGCAACTACTAATGTTTAAAGCGTGAATAAAGGGGCTTATTTTCGAAAAACCCCCCACTTTTTCGGAACATTATATTGGCCCAAAAAAACTCAAAAGAGCAGCTTAATTTGTCATTGATTTCCATACTATGAGCAAAACCTGTTTGTGTGTGGTTCCAGGCAATAATAGTGAGCCCAACAGGCTGGGCAAATGCTGCAACAATAGATGTGATTTATGACTTGCTGCATATGATGGGCCGTGATGACATCCCTGTAGGTCTTGGAGATGTATTTGCTACGAACCAGTCTGATCCAATTTTCCCTGCTGTTGGAGGCTGCAAATACCAACAGGCCATCCCTCATGGCAACGGTGGATTGCTGGACTCAGACACTCTCTACGGCCTTGCTCGTGATTTGCCACGAAGCCTACGAAGGTATTACTTTTCGGTCATTCATCAAATATTGTGTCAGTATACATGTCAGTATCTAATGAGGTTAAAAGTGGACCCAAATTTGAGTAGTGAACAGAACTTGGTAAGCGAATTTGGTGAGTGTAGCGATACTCTAGGAAAAATCGTGTGTTTCTTTAGATAGACCGAGACTGAAATCATAAGTACTTTTTACCAGGTATACAACAGAAAATTCTTTAGAACACGGAGCCCCGAAGGATACAGATCACCCTGAGCTCAGACAACCACTGGCATTGGAGGTTTGTGAGACTCTGGTGAAAACACTGGAACCCGGATCCAAGATTACCATATTGACCAATGGACCCTTGACCAATTTAGCTAAGATGATCTCGTCCAAAAAGAACACCGTCTCTTTAATACAGGTAAGTTCCTTGAACTTTGTCATATTTACCATCGTTCTTCCCTTCCCACAATCATCAACACGTGTGCATCAAGATTAGCGGCAGTTATGTAAATAAGTTGAAATTCACCCCAAATCACTATTTATTTGAACAGTGCAATTGATAATCATTCTTTAGACTAAAGTAATTTTATCACGTCAATATTTGCAGCAATGATGCCAATGTTTGCTAATTGCAGGATGTGTATATTGTTGGAGGGCATATCAGCAGCAATGACAAGGACAAAGGAAATGTGTTTACTATTCCTTCCAATGAATATGCAGAGTTCAATATGTTTCTTGACCCTTTGGCTGCAAAGGCAGTGTTTGAGTCCTCACTTAACATCACACTCATTCCCCTCGGCATCCAACGCGAAGTTGGTTCGTTTTCCAAAATCTTAGAACGGATGCGCCGGAAGAAGAAGACACCCGAGGCCCTTTTTGTCCGGCGGTTGCTGTCAAGGCTCTACCGGTTGCAGCAATTGCACCATAGATATCATCACATGGTAACGAAGCTTCTTGTCTAAGACCATATATACCTGATTCATGCATTGTTTTTCTATTTGTCTGTACTGGTTTAATGGGTAATGTTCTTTTGCCGGACTTGTACATTCGGGCAACAATCCACCTGATTAACGGTCTAGATTTACAGTCTGACAACTTACTTTCTCACTTCTCATATGTTATATTCTGCTGCAGCAAACTTTCTTGGGGGAAATTCTTGGTGCAGTTCTCTTAGCTGGTGATTCCCATCTGAATCAAACCTTCCAAGCGAAGCCCATCAAAGTTTATGCCGAAGGTGTTGAATCCAGAGATGGACAGCTTTTGATTGACGAAAATCAACGGAAACTGGTCAGGGTATTGGACAGTGTAAATCCTCAGGCCTATTACAATCTTTTTGTAGACCGGCTTAGCGATTCAAACCAGTCAGCTATACTGGGTAGTTTTGAAGAACAAGTAAAATTCTGGCGTAAACCGCCGAATCAAACCGAGACCGCAGCGTAAGACGTAGAAATTTGTACGAGTTATATTGTACGAAAAAAGTAGAGTAGAGCGCCTAGATACTCACTTATCTCGCAACTCTCACCTAGATAGAAAATAGATACTCTAATTTTGCATTTTATTTATTTTAATAACTTGTAAGATAATTATTGAATACTTGAATGAACACTCATTATATATGATTCCCCATGTTTCAATATGTTCTAAAACTTTCTAATCTATATATCATTCTATTTTTCAATTTATGTATCTCAATTTTGCATGTGGTCCAATATCTTAGTGGATAGGGTGTTGGGTTTCTACCCAGCATTACAGTTCGAAACTCCCCTCTTCCCTATATTATTGTAATAGTTTCAAACTCTTCCCGTCCCCTTAATAATAATAAAATTAAAATAAAAAAGGTTTATGTATCCCAATACACATATATTTTTAAGTATAAATATGCACTTATTTATACAATATAAAATGAGTTTGATTAAGCCACTTAGTACTACGGTTTTGTGATATTCCTTTTCACTGGTAAGTGAGAGGTTTTGAATTCGATTTTTGCCAAAAGAGAATTTGAACCACATTATTACTAGCCCATTCCCACTTAGTATAAATAATATTGTTTGTTAAAAATAAAAAAAAAGTTTGCTTAAATCCGCCTAGGTGATAGACCCCATTCCGTCGCTCAACTAGCACCTAGCGTCTTTTAAGACTTTGTAAAAAACATTGAATACAAAATCGGAAAATGCCATTGGAATTGTTCTTGGCCTTATTTGTTTAACAAGGTAAATTGTTCTTTGATTTATTATACTTGCACAGAGGCTAACCTGCTAGATCATATTTGATAGTAACTATAATATCACCATCTCAAGCCTGCAAGCGTTGGAAGTTTTATCCCTTTTTGCGTCGAAGCTCAATTTAACCGCCCGCTACAAAGAGTGATAATTCTCTGCAATGGGGTCCATCGCTTCTCTTCCTTTCTCACACATCACGCAACGTGTGAGAAAAGAAGAAAATGATGTATATCAATGTGAGAAAGGAAGAGAAACGTTATATCCCGGTTTCACGTAAGTTATAATGCATAACCAAAAAAAACTTAATATGGATATAATCTTCCCTTTTCTTCTTTATTCTGAGAAAACAAACAAGGATAATTTTGTTAAAGGGAACAAATTGTTATTGTCCAGCAGTGGTGATCATTGACCCTTTCTCATAGATTCTCCTTTCCTTAAAGAAAGAATTTGAAGAGAGAAGCACGTTTTAGAAGCAAACAAATGGCCAGCAAAGCAGATCAAGATTGACAATTAAAGCTTCAAAGAACCAAATCTTTCACATCTATTTTATAATATGGATTTACTAAACAAGACTGCATGATCATTTGTTTAATCTCTGCTAGCATGGATGACAACTAAGGAGTGATACCCACGGTAGCCATGAAATCCTACTAATAATAGTACAAAGGAAATTATTTCCGCGCGCCCTTTCTCCTAACGTACTTCCCAGCTTGTTTATGTCCTCGATTCACCTCGATTTATTCAATCGCATGGCCAGAAATAAGAAGGGGAGTGCAAGAGAATAAAGAGAGTGTAAAAATCATTTCCCTAATACGAGACCAACCAACACAAACTTGAGTCATTGCAAAGGTTCCACAAAGCAGAAACTGCAGGCTGGAGATTTCTAATGATCAAAACCCTAGTCCGGTACAAAACTTGGGATACATTTGCACAGCCGCAGTTCAATCACAACGACCCATATATATGAACAGGGAAAAGTAATTAATCAATGAAGCATGTCGCCAGATAAAACTGGATGGGAAACACCTTTTCATAAATAAAAAGGTTAAAGGTTCATCAAGAAGTGGCACCAGATGGAAAAACTACTCCTCATAATATTCATACAAGCACAAATTCATTAGTGAAGAGAATTTTCAATCAATTAAGAGAGGTGTTATACAATACTTGTGCGACGAGATCTCTCCAACCACCCCAACCTTCTTGTTTTCTTTTCACAATTGTAGGCTTAGAAATTCAATTCCAACATAGGAATCGACCCACCAGCTGCCATAATTTGTTGCTCCAACTGCAATCATCAACAATATTTAATTTTGGAAAAAAAAAATTAAGTAAATGGAAAAATTATAAGTTATATTAATAAGCAACATCAAGTGTCTATACAATTCTACTCACCGCGAAGAGAGTTTCAAGCTTGCTCTTCACGAGGTAGTACTCATGCTTTACTTGTTGAACACATCTAACACACCTGCTAACAAGAAGTCTTTCAGTTTTCATGGTTCAAGACCTCACAGCTTCGGGAGCTGATTAAGAAAGAATTAAATGAAAAAATAACAGTAAAGAGTAAAGTAAAATCACCCTTCAGTGTTCTTTTCCTCGCAGAAATTGCGGAAAGCAATGCAGGCATTTTTAACTCTCTGAGCACCAATACTGTCAACCACAAAAACTCTCATCAAACAACATTCAGCTAAACATGAAGAGCAATTAGCTCTCAAACCTATGTCCCTATATCTAAACTAGATTAAGTTTACGGTAATGAATAATGATCACACCCCCGTTTTCTCCTTCTGTCCTTTCTTCTGTCCCTTGATTCTCTTTCAATTATTCAATCGAAAGGAAGGAGTCCAGAGGGAGAAGAGGGAAGTGCGAAATTCTCTTCCTGAAGTTTAACCTATCCAAGGGTGTATAAATTGGATTTATCTCAGTTTGAAGAAAATGCAAATTGTCCAAGTAGCTACAAAAATAGGGGTTCTAAATCGTAAAACCAGGAGTTCAAACTATGAAATCAACTGAGAAACTAAAAATAAATAACCAACTTTTGCTACTTTATTTCATGTTTTTTTTCATAGAAGGCAAAAAAAGAAGCAACATTTAAGTGTACCTGGAGCTACTACCCTTGAACTGGTGAACGTGGGCATCAACCCTTTTGAAGTCTACAGTTGGTTGTTCTCTGTGCAAACAAAAAAAGGGAAATCATGCACTCCTAAAAAGTATCCATAGCAAACTATGAGCACCACACAAATCAATCCAGTCCAGTCCAGTCCAATCCAATCCCAGAGACAAAAAGATAGTGAAAAGAAAGATCCTGGATTCTTACAGAGCTCTGGTGAGATCATTGAGAAGCTTCTCAGAATCTTCAAAGAAAAGAGACACCACTTCAACAACAAAATCTGGGTTGCTCTCATCCTGCAGCTGTTGGAGCTGCAAAAACTGACCATCCAGAAACCCCTTCTCTCACCCAACCAATAAAAAAAATTCCAAAATATAAAAACATCAGGAACAAAACAAGCAAAAACAACAAAATCAAAACAACCCCATCTGTGATTTATGCTTAAATTTCACATTTTTTTTCTGTTGCTTCTACCTCCAGGAACAAGGATTTTGTGTAGTCAACCCACTGTCTCTGCATCTGCCCCACCTCCATGTCTTTTCTTTTGTTCCTCTCCACACAGACAGAGTAAGAGAAAGAGAGCCAGCAGAGAAAAGCTTGTGCCTTGAATTGCAGATCTTGAGGAATTATTGCACAAATCAGAGACTATAAAGTTATAAAATTTTGGGAAAGCCAGAAAAAAGGTTTGTGAATTCAATGTGAAAAAACAAAATCCAAAAGCTGCTTGCTTTGGGGTATTTGACCCCCTTTCTGGTTTCTATCTCTATCTGGATGTGTGCTCTGGTTTTTAGTATTTTTCTCATAGAATCACAAACCCCACCAGTTGCCCTCCTTTATATATTTAAATTTATTATTATCACACACGTTCTCCCTCTTTCTTTGATTTTCTTGTAATTTTGTTCTTCATTTTTCAAAGTGGTGGATGTGATGTAGAATCCACAGCTGATCATGTCTTTCAAGTCCCACGTTGCTTTTTGCCACATCGTTTTAAAGTATTTGGGTTTTATTAGGTAAATAAACCCTAGGGTTGTTTAAAAAAAATGACCTTAAAAATGGAGAAGGACTTGTGTGGATCGAGACTTCACAATGACGATTGATTTATTTCATGTCTAAGTTGTTTTTAGTTGAAAACGATGTGGTTCAGTTCAAATTACGCTTAAAAAGTGTGAACTGAATCAAATTTTTTAAACGGGCCTTAACCCATTTGATCTTTTGGGCTTTAAGAACCTCAGCCCTAGTAAACAGAAATAAAATTGGTTATAATCTTTTAATTGAAAAATGAAATCACGAGATTCTAAAGTGTAGGGTGCAACCCAGACGAGTTGGAAGGTCAATCGAGTTTTGGATCATTTAGGTTTATTAGGGCTTGAGTTCATTCGAGTTAGATTTGTTTGTGTATACTTTTTGCAGTCAATCGACTTCATCGAGTTTGGCTCTACCAACCGGTCCAATTTTATTCAAATTTTACAAAAAAAAAAAAAATTATTCATTAAGATTTGATTTCCACATCTCATTAAATCTTTTGTTTTCAATTTCAATCATTTATTTTGTACCACTCAATATTACATACTATTTTTAATAAAAAAAATTGCGAGAACAAAAAATATTCAACACAACACTATGCGGAGGGGGTGAGCTTAACCTCACAATGGAGATGCAATAATATGATTTAAATTCTCATTTGGCGAGAATTAATCCTAAAACATATCACTTACAAATAAAAATAAATACTAATAAACCATATTACTAAGTGGCAGTATTACATACTATTACAAATAAAAAGTTAGCGGTCGTGCTGGTCGGAAGTAAACAAGAGCCAAATTGTTAAGGATTTTCCCTTGTTTGTTTACCCACTTCGAGTAAAGATAATTATTAGAATAATCCCCAACTAAACAAATGACATCCCATCCCAATATCTCACGTGGCAGAATTATCATTTGCCAAAATGGTTAAGTAGGTTTTGGCAACATCACCTCATCTTCAAGACTTGAAGTTGTTAAATGTACCATCCAAACTTCATGTCATAAGCTCTCCAATAAACCAAAAAAAAAAAAGAGCTTTAATGAAAAGGGTTTGGTCCAACAAATATTTAACAAAAAACTATCTCAAAATGTTATTTAACCAAAATGGCTCAAAGTTTAATAAAAAATCATCCAAAACTATTGTCCACGAGTAAAACTTACAAGCCAAACCCGCTACAAATCTACATTTTCGTAAATACGCTTAAATGATTTGATATTGTCCCGATTCTTCACCAACCTCAACCCAGCACGAAACCGCCATAATAACTTCCTGCCTTCCTATCAAATCAAATTCCCCCATTTCAAAAACAACCAAATCAAAGTTGAAAAAATGAAGTATTCATTAGAACAAAGCCGCCTAAACAAGTTCAAAGAAGTTTAATGGCAGAAACTGGCGAAAAAATGTCTGGAAAAAAAAAGAACAAAAACATAAAACTGTTTCTGGAGAGCCCAAAACATAATACTGTTTCTGGAAAAAAAATCTGACACAGTGTTTGTTTTGTCTGTGCACAAACAAACACTGTATATGGAAAGAAAAGAACCAAAATCCAAATACGGTGACTTAAATTCCAGCAACAATGACTTAAATTTCAGAAACAATGACTTAGATTTTAGAAACAATCTATGTTTTAACCTTTAACTGTTTCTTTTCTTTCAAGCATCAGTTGATTATATTTAAGAAGCAGGATGCTTATTTTACTTTGAATCCAAATACAGTAAATTTCACTATTTCTTTTCTAGCTTACATTTAAGAAATAGAGTGTTTATTTCCACTGACGAAGAAAAATTGAAAAACAATACCTCGAATACATTATGAATAATAATGACAATCACATTTCAACGAAATAATACAAAATATAAATTAAATAGCATAAGGGTCTATAGTTTTATTTCAAAGAAAAAGAAGAAGGTCTGCAAAACAACGATAAACTCCATTAACGACGAAAATCTGGAACTCAACCTAAAAAAGTTAAGGGTAAAATCACAAATCATAATTTATTATAGTTGAGCCATTTTTAGTTGGACTACTTTAATATGGGCATTGTACTAATCATTAAACAAAAATTATAACATGATTTTTTATTAAAACAAAAACTTTTCAAGCTCTTTTCATTAGTTTTCTTAAAAAAATAAAGACTTCATGTCATATTTGATGAATGTTTGTTTATTTCTCAAGACTTATAACTTAAGTAATTTAAATCACTCACGCTTGTACCGAAGTTATATTTGATGCACATGATGTCGCTTGCATTTAAAAGAAAAATGATTTGTTTATTTCTTGGTCCAATAAACAATACCCAACAACAACAACAACAACAACAAAGCCTTTTCCCACTAAGTGGGGTCGGCTATATGAATCCTAGAACGCCATTGCGCTCGGTTTTGTGTCATGTCCTCCGTTAGATCCAAGTACTCTAAGTCTTTTCTTAGAGTCTCTTCCAAAGTTTTCCTAGGTCTTCCTCTACCCTTTTGGCCCTGAACCTCTGTCCCGTAGTCACATCTTCGAACCGGAGCGTCAGTCGGCCTTCTTTGCACATGTCCAAATCATCGGAGCCGATTTTCTCTCATCTTTCCTACAATTTCGGCTACTCCTACTTTACCTCGGATATCCTCATTCCCAATCTTATCCTTTCTCGTGTGCCCACACATCCCACGAAGCATCCTCATCTCCGCTACACCCCATTTTGTGTACGTGTTGATGCTTCACCGCCCAACATTCTGTGCCATACAACATCGCTGGCCTTATTGCCGTCCTATAAAATTTTCCCTTGAGCTTCAGTGGCCTACGACGGTCACACAACACGCCGGATGCACTCTTACACTTCATCCATCCAGCTCGTATTCTATGGTTGAGATCTCCATCTAATTCTCCGTTCTCTTGCAAGATAGATCCTAGGTAGCGAAAACGGTCGCTTTTTGTGATCTTCGCTAGATTGCTCCGGTCATTAGTGTGGATAAGTATATAAATGGATAGAGATAGGAAAGCAAAACACAAGATGTACGTGGTTCACCCAGATTGGCTACGTCCACGGAATAGAAGAGTTCTCATTAATTGTGAAGGGTTTACACAAGTACATAGGTTCAAGCTCTCCTTTAGTGAGTACAAGTGAATGATTTAGTACAAATGACATTAGGAAATATTGTGGGAGAATGATCTCGTAATCACGAAACTTCTAAGTATCGGAGTGTGGTGTCGTCTTGACTTGCCTTATCTGTCTCATAGGTAGATGTGGCATCTTCTCTGGAAGTACTCTTTCCTCCATCCAGGGGTGGTATCTTTAACTGGTGGAGATGCACAAGGTAATGTATCAATTTCACTTGAAGCTTACTTGTAGTTTCAGGCTTGGTCAAGCGCGATACAAACCATGTAGTAGGAGTCCCCCAAGTCGCCGAGCTAGGGGGTCTGCTGAAAGAGGTGACAGACAAGGTAAGCAATCAGAGCTCCGACTGATTGTTCACCTTCTCCCCATCTTGCAGCAGCATGAAGGATAAAGAGAGAAGAAAAATGAGAAGAGATGATATGAGATACTTTTGCTTTTGAAGAAGTAACTTTCCACAGGCTTATTCTTGAACTGAGCTGGAGGGTTTTCTGGTTTCCTCCAGAGTATTAAGGCCGACTGAAGAATTTGAGGGTCAAAACAAGTCCATCAAATCTAGAGTACGTTCCACCCTGCTGATATGGGATACTTTTGCTTTTGACAGAGTAATGGATGTATCGGCACGTGTGCTGTTACGCTTGTCTCCACATGCTTCCTTGTATCCTTCGCACTTGCCCTATCTGTTCCTCAAGCAGATGCGGAATCTTCCCTGGAAACATAAGATGTTGAAGATGAGTACTCGAGAGCAATGCCAGGTAAGTAATCAGGTAAGGGGTTCCAGGCAGTCAGTTCCTGGCTGGAAGCTTGATTCCAAGTGCTGACTGATTGCTCTCTTTCTCCTTGTCTTGCAGGTAAAAACAAGGCCAAAGGAAAAGACAGGGAAAAAGCATGATATGGGATACTCTTCTTGCTTTTAACCCTGATGATATGAGATATTCTTGCTCTAGTATAGCTTGTTTGCAGAGGTATTATCGGGGGGAAAGAAAGCTGAATATTTCGAAAGGCTTCGTTGGGAGTGCCCTCTCAGATATGATGAAGGGTTGAGCATTTTTGCAGGTCTGCCTGTCCGTTGGGGATGGAGGTCGACATATATAGGAGTCTCCCTAACAACAAGTAGTAATGCTATTCCTTTACCCTGCTTGGTCATAGCACGGTAGTGGGAGCTGCCAGTTTCACATGTTTTAACTCTGTCAGAGCACTTTGAAAAAGTGGTCTGTGGTATCTGGCTCTCGAGATTCGGAGAACGATGCCTCTTCGATTTTTGAGAAAGCAATCATGCTGGGGGTCTGGCTCTCTCGAGATTCGGAGAGCAGTGTCTCTTCGATTTTTTGAGGAAGTATTCTTGTTGGGAGTCTGGCTCTCGAGATTCGGAGGGCGGTGCCTCTTCGATTTTGGAGCAAGCAATCTTGTTGGGAGTGTTGTCTCGAATGTGAGTAAAGGTTGGGCATGTTTGCTAGTCTACCTTGCCACGAAGCACAAAGGTTGACACACAGGGACTTTCCAATTATCCAGCAATGGTACTGTTCCTTTACCCTCTCTTCGATTTTGAGAAAGTAGTCATGTTGGGAGTCTGGCTCTCGAGATTCGGAGGACGGTGCCTCTTCGATTTTGGAGCAAGCAATCTTGTTGGGAGTGTTTTCTCGAATGTGAGTAAAGGTTGGGCATGTTTGCTAGTCTACCTTGCCACGAAGCACAGAGGTTGACACACACAGGGACTTTCCAATTATCCAGCAGTGGTACTGTTCCTTTACCCTTGTGGGTAATAATATGGTAGCTAGACCTTC